GCACACATGTACCATGGTGTGGCAAAATAAAAGGGTTAATTCAGGTTTTCTGGCAAAGAAATACGTGAGAAAATTTAGGTCTGATCCAAACATTCCAATGAGTAGTTTTATGGAGACTGTGAAAGAGGACTGCATGTATGAGATTTCAAAGCATCAGTTCTACAGGACAAGATCAAAATGTGCAGAAGTTATTAATGGGATTGTAGCTGAGCAGTACAAAATTTTATGGGATTATGGTGAGGAATTGAAGAGAACAAATACAGGCAGTACAGTGCAAATCGAAGATTCGGGACATACTTTTAAGAGATTGTACATTTGCATGGGAGCTTGTAAGGAAGGGTTTAAAACTGGGTGCAGGCCAGTTGTTGGGTTGGATGGATGCTTTCTAAAATCTGCAGAAGGTGGACAGTTGTTGGCAGCTGTTGGGATCAATGGTGAGAACTGTATGTTCCCGTTAGCATGGGCAGTTGTGGATGCAGAGAACAAAACAAACTGGCAATGGTATTGTTGGTTCATGACATAGGGATGCACAATCCTCGAGCTTGGACATTCATTTCCGACAAACAAAAGGGTTAGGTGGATTCCATAAGTCAATACTGTGAAGGAGCGGAGCATAGTATTGTGCTAGACATTTTAATAGCAATTTCACCTTGGCACACAAAGGTCTGGCACTTAAGAACCTATTTTGGACTGCAGCAAGGGCAACAACAGTGCCAGAGTAGAAGAGTGCAATGAATGAGTTAAAAGACATAAGTGAAGAGGCTTACAACTGGTTCCTTGAAAAACCTCCTTCCTAGTGGACCAAATCCCATTTTGAAGAGCATTCGAGATGTGATATTCTTTTTAATAATTTGTGTGAGGCATTCAATTCTTCCATTGTTGTTGCCAGAGACAGGGCCATCATCTCCATGCTAGAGAAAATTCGGTATCAGCAAATGATAATGATGAATGCAAAAAGGGAAGCGGCACAGAGGTGGGATCATGCATTTGGGGCTAAGAATTGTAAAAATCATTGAGAAGGCTAAGTCTGAGGCAAGGTACTTGAAGGCAGACTATGCAGACAACCATAAATTTGAGATAAGCAATAGAGACGGTTTGAGGTGGAGCGTTGACTTGACACAACATGCATGTGCTTGCAGAAAATGGCAGCTCACTGGAATACCATGTCCCCATGCAATATCAGGAATGCTTTCAAGGGATATTGGCATATATGAATACGTTGACCCATGGTATAGCAAGGAGACATACCTGAAATGTTACTCCCCAGTGATCCACCCGATGTCAGGGCCTGAACTGTAGCCAGAATTGGGAAAGCATCCTCTCAATCAACATCAGAAGAGAAAACAGGTTGGCAGACCCAAAAAATTGAGGAAGATGTCACAGGCAGAGCCATTTGCAAGCGTTAAGATGGGAAGGACTGGTACGAAGATGACGAGTAAACGTTGTGGAGGGTCTGGACATAACAAAAGAAGCTGTAAGGAGGCACTGCCTGGTGAAGATAGTTCACAGAACATTCTCAACCAACCATACAAGAAGATACACATACCAGATCAGCGAAGGGGAAGAGAAAAACACATTCAACGCAAACCTCCAAGTCACAGACAAAGAAGTCCAAGCATAGAGGATCGCAATCTTGAACATTATATGGTTTCTCTTGTATAGTTACCTTTTTGGGAAAATGCAGTGGTTTTTTGTAAACTGAACTGGAAATATGTGCTTCCAATGCTGTGTATTTTGTATATGTAATTGGAATTTTTGATGAAATTGATCAATGTGATGATAATGTTGGCGTCGAATATCTTGCATTATGTTTCTGCTGTTTGTCGTTGGTTTCTGAAATTGTATTCGTAAGATTTGATGTGCAGGGGATTATGAAATATATGAGAATATTCGAGACTTCCTATGAAAGTATTATCAAACGTTTGGTACCTTTACTACAATGTTTTTAAAGGTTTGGTACTCTGCCTGAAATCATTAGGAAAAGGTTTGGTACTGATTCTGCGAATCGTTATAAAGTTTAGTACTTATGCTGCACCTTCTTCAGATACGTTTGAAGTGTAATCTGCTCTTTTAATTTCGTATTTTACATAGAGGCCAGGAAAATATCGTTAAATTTCAAGTCAAAATGTACAACACAATTTTTCCTTTTTTACATATGCATTTCACAATATCTAGCACATGGCTCCATTTCGAAACCCTAAGCTCAAATTTCTGGAACAAAAAACTAAAATCCTACAATCTGACCCTACATACCTAGGAACAAACCCATTTTGCAAACACTCCACACACAAAGCCGAAGAGCCAGATCTTCCACACATTTGGTCTTATTGCTTGAAAGGTGTCGATTTCAGCTTTCATTTCCCTCCTAGCTCGTAATAGACCAGGAATCAGTTCCTTCGATCTCTCACACATCGGAGGGTCACACCACATAAAGAAGGTGCATCCACCCATATCTTGGCTTCGAGGACCAACGGCGGATCCAGCACCCGGCGAGCCCCCGCGGCCTCCCGTACTGGATCGTCGGAGCTCAATTTTTTTTGCTGTCCAAGTATTTATTTGTTTAGATATATTTCAGTGATTTTCTTTGATTCACACCAAGTCCTTGTTGCTCAGCTGGTTAGGGCACCACAGCGGTGAAGGGGCGTCCGGGGTTCGATTCTCAACTGTTGCAATTCCCTTTTGTAATGATTTTAGTATAATATTTTTCACCATTTTGGAGCAAATAGGCATTAAAACTGGTGCAAGAGGAAGAATCGAACTTGTGATCTCCATTAGAATAATGGACAACTTGACCACTATGGCAGTTATTGGATGTTGACAATGCAAGCAACAAAATTCTATATATTCTTTTATCCCAATGATATACGCCCTCCTTTCTAGAAAAATAAAATTCAACCATGCTGAGATTATTAAAATAGTCACTTTTTTTTTATTAAACTGAAATTATTAGCGGATCGAACCAAGAAAGTAAATAATTGGACAAATTTTCAAATTTCAAATTGTTACTCAATAAACATTATTACAATGGTAGATAACGTATACTCACACTTATAATTCGAACTACGATATAAGCCCTAGTTTGACCCCCTTTAAAACTTATCAATTTAAATTAAATTTTTTTCCTATTTTCAACCACACAATTTTCAATAAAATAATATTACATGTAAATCGAAAATTTTTCATTCTTTTACAACTATCAATTTTTAAATTTTTTTAGAAAAACATTATTTCCCTATTATAAATCCAAATAATGGGAGCCAAACAGGGGCTAAATAATTTCAACTCACGGCATTGGTTATTATTGCGACCGTCGACAGTCAACGGCCGCCCGTGCTCAATTAAAATCTTGGATTCGCCACTGTCGAGGACATGTAAGAAATCTTCTTCCCGGGTTCAAGTTCGTCCACGAGGTCTTTATCTGCACTAGGGAACCACATCTGCATACATTCCCCTCCATGTGCGTGCTGATTTTTTTGACTACATGTGAGAGAGAAGGTAGGTAATATATAGTGATAAAGAAATGGAGGGAAATAAACAGTGAAGTATATAATAGGAGGGAAATGTGTGTAATGACCATGTTGTCCTTCACTTATTTGGGGAAAATTCTTGAAATTATCATTAAAGGGGTCAACTGATGGTTTTGGCGGTCAAACAGACGGAAACCGTCATTTTGGACTGGCCCCACACATTTTTTAAAGGTTTAGTATCTCCGGTGACACAAACTAAAGGTTTGGGCAAAGTCTGCTAATAAACGAAAGATTTGGTACCTCGGCTGCAATTTTTCCATTATATTAATATTAAACTCTTCTTAGTTCCAACTACTGTTACTTATGGGCACTGTCTGTGTCTGGTCTGCAAGAATAGAGATTTTCGAACTCATTTGACACTGTTTCTTTTGTCTTTTAGTTGTTGTCTTGGCATCTATATCTAGTCCCTGAAAATACTTCTATTCTTTTCGTGCAAAACTGGGGCCGCACTTCTTAGGTTGTCACCTTTTGAGGTTGAAGATTTTGACTCGACAATGGTATTTCAGTGTTTTTACTGTTGTCTTCTGCGTTCGGCGTATGAGGTTTGGATTTTCATTTTTGGTGGCATGTCGAATTTCTAGTCTAGATTGCACTTTTTTAAAATTTTTATTGGGTTTTGTTTTGTATAGTTAAAATCTCTATTCGACTTGTAAAATTTTGTTATTGTACTTATTTGTTAAAAATGTACAATAAAAAGTGACATTTAGAAGGAAAAGATCATCAATTTGTTCAATTTGCCCGTAAGTTCAATTGTTAAGGAACTTGATTGGTTGCATAGGATAAGAGGTGACTTGATTAACAATACACGAAGTCCAAATAATAGATGGAAACGAAATAGAAATTTTATGTCGAGACGAGAATAAATAGGCAGCCTGCCTTTTCTTCCTTGCATGAAAGAACCTATCTACGTCCGACTAACTCGAATTTAATTTTTCAACTTCTTGCACCAAAAATAATTGAATAAAGAAACATTAATAGAATGAGAATCTGGCAACATGTACTTAGGGCCCATTTACCAGAAATTCAGAAAAGTCAAAAGTTGTTTCTTAAAACTAAGAAGTTGCTTTGAAAAATATGTGAATAATTTTTTGGAAATTCTTTTTCTGACTTAAAGAATTTTTATAGGACATTAATCTAATATAACCTCCTCAAAAAGCATTTGTACGAAGAACCAAACGGGCCTTGAAAAATAGCAAAAGATTATTAAAATCTCTAAAAGAACGTAAAAAATCACAAAGCAAGCATATTGCACTGCACTCCACAAAAGAAAACCTAAATTAATATTCGTTTTCAGACATATAATCACAGCTCTAATGATTTTAGAATAATAGTACCCATCATCACTAATCACGGCCACCCAAAATTATTCATTCAGTACTCATACTCTCCACCTTTTCATTTTACTCTCTCTTTTCAAGAATCATTTCACAGACAAAATCATTCCACTTTTTACTGTATAATCTTATTCATAACTGCACACTCCCCACCATTTAAAGTAACTCCCCAACACACAAACTCTTCTCAGAATACAGTCCTGTTTTCTACTTCTCCCTACAAATTAAAGGAGTCCCAGAGAAAAATTACTTTGTTTTCACAAAGAAAACAGTATAAAAATTTATGGGTTTTTCCTCAATGTCGATCTTGTTCTACTTCGTTGTGACTATATTGTTTCAGTTTCAACTTTCTGAGTCTGCCACAGTAGACGTGGATGGAGTTTCAGAATGGAGAAATCCTCAAGTTCAAGTTGGGGATGCTGTCAGTAAGTGCTTCTATTATTATCTATTTTTTCTCACAAACTTGATTATCTACGGATAAGTATAAATATGAACCTTCATTTAATCTTGGGTTCTTGTTTTTACAGTTTTCCAGCACAAATATCACTACAATCTCTACATTTTCCAGAGCCAAAATGCCTTCAGTCACTGTGACTTTTCTCAAGCTAGACTTCTCACTAAACCCAACTCCACATCTTACACTGTAAGTAATAAAAGAACTTTACTCGATTTGGGATTTACCTTTTACCATGCTCGTAACATGGTAGCTCATTTCTGCATATTGAATATTGAAATCTGAAATGCTTGTTTGAACTTTAGACGGATAGAATTATTCATTTGAGCTTAACGTGTTCTGATACCAAATTTAGACTTGGATTTCCATTTAAATTTACACTCAAGTCTATGAATATCTATAATTAGCAAAAGTGAATTATTACTTAATCACTAGAATCTTGTATTATAAATGTTATAAACTTATAATTTACGTTTTTGTGTAATATCTTTTCTGATTGTTACTGTAAATTGAAGTGGCACACTTCACGACCTGGTTTCTTCTACTTCTCCTTCAACAATGGTTCTAGCAAAGCATGCTTAGGGGGTCAAAAGCTGGCTGTGAAGGTCATATTATCACTGTCTCCAAATTCTTCCCCTGAATTGCCACCACCAACGGCAGCGCCACCTCTGAGCTCTGGCGGCATTGTGGCATCTTCTCCAGCATTTCCTTGGCCATTTCAGCCACGAGAAAGCGCTTCGCCAAGTCCTGCACCGAGTACTGTAGACCTTCCAGGCGGCGCCACCAGTCCTACAGCGCCGTATAAAGAAGGCATCCCATTTATCAACAGCAATCCAGCTGTGCCTCTGCCCACAGGAGAGGTGGATTCTGCCACCATTCGCCCTTTGCCCACAAATGGGGACAATGCTAGACAGGTCCTGGGATTTTCAATTGTTCTAAAGGCTTTGAGTTTGAGTTGTCCAATTTTGCTGATGACGGTCTAGAGAGGTGCACTTGGTTTATGTATGAAATTTTAGCTTTGAATCTAAAGTCGCTTTAAGGTTGTCCTTGACCCTACTTTGGAATCATTAGATTTAGCTGCTTACCACTTTGTTCTTTACACTTTAGTCTATGCAAAGTAATTGATTACACCCTTTTCCTTTTTCATTTCATTCTTCACCCATTGTGATTAAAGCAATAGCAATAAATTAAGAAACGACAACTTAAAGAGTTGAGACATATCTTACACGGGACTTCAAACTGTTAACATATATGTTCCTATAAATCAACTTTTTCAGGGGGCCTCTCCTCTGTTTTTCCGGGTTCAGATTCTTGAGCCAACTCTTACAGTACAGCAGACTCTTCTTCTTCTTGAATCCCATTTTCATTTTCATTTTATCTGTTTCGGTCGAAATCTATGGTTCTTCATGTTTTTCCTGGAACAAAGTTTGATTATTTTTAGCAATTTTCTCATCCACATTTTTCAAAATTTCAGTGCCTCAACTATGTTCCTTAACTTCCTCAGTGCCAAATTATATTCTATTAACATGCAAATCATCAGAAAGAATTTTGACCTACCAAAATCAAGATATAAGCATCAAAATATGCACAAAATGTGACTTACTGAAATGTAGAAAAAGCATAAATTCGAAAGAGATAAAACGAAGCGAGGTATGTGAATGCTGATCTTCTTAAAATAGAATTAGCTCCCTACATTGGTTCTAACATGATCAAATGAATGTTTGCCTCCCAAGATATTACAATTTTTTCAAAATTAATATAGCACGATGTTAATTTTACCAAGTGAACTAACGCTTAGGTGTATTTTTTCTAGAATGGAAGAAATCGAATACTATATATCGAACATAAAATTCAAAAATAATTTGGAAATTATTTTGATATAATTTGGAGAATGAAATAATTAAAACTCAATTATACGGAAATGATTTCGAGTGAAGAAAATGGATTTAGGTGTACTATTTACATATTTTCCTGCGTCTCTTCCGAATGGTCGCATCTTTTGGTACAAATTAATTTCAATCATACAATTGCACCATTCTAATAGGTTCATGATCTAATGGTCTAGATCGCACCTTATCAAAAGGTCATGACTCTTTATTATGCGTCTTATTCCAATTTACACATTTTAATCTTTATATACCTTAAATTCCAACAACAATGCCACGAATTCCTTTAACCTTCTTTGGCATCGAAATTGTTAACATGTATTCATCTTTATCAGTGAAACGAAATTTACTAAATCAAGAACTGTCTCTGGGCAATTGTAGTTTTGAAAATTTTCAAAACTAATTTGAAAATATAAGTGATATGTCACGAGCTGATCTCAAAACTATGCAACTTATAGCTTTAACTGTAAGTAGGCAGCATAGCATTTAATTTCTGTTTACTAGCTCGACCGGAGGAAGAGGCTCATTCTCACTAGAATGAGGGAGAGGATGAAGCCCTTTTTTGTCTTCAACATTTTTGGTTCTTTGCTAATTTGGTAGAAGAAGGTCGTTTACCAAGTCATTACAACGTGTTATGCAATTTTTAATAAGAATGAAGCAATACACACAATATTGTAACTTCTTGTTCTTCCTTATAATGTCTAGTATCGTACGGTCCACCATAACAAACAACCCAAAAATCATTTATGATAGGAGCCCTTTACTCGTTATCTCTTCAGGTACCATTCGTCTTTCAAATATCAAGTTGATGTTAGCCTTAGTCCCCACCACCTCCACCCCCACTCTGTCCACTGGATTCCAACTCACAAAAGCCTTTTAATAATTAAAGCTCTATGGGGTCACGGCAATTAATTCATTGCGAGTTTATTATCCGTGACAAGATTCAATAATATAATACACAAAAATAATTCTATTTTCTTCTTTAGTAATGTTCAGTATTGCACATTGCCGACTCACCTTATCGAATTAATAACAAAAAATTTGTGGTAGCAGCCGTTGGCTCAGAACATGTTAGCTTGTTAGGCAACATTCATATTTTCAGCAATCAAGCTTGAAGTCAGACCCCACCTCACTCCATAAATCTGCACCAGCTATATCACATTTGTGTGATAGACAAACTTTTGGCAATTAAAGCTCTAGGTGGTTCATTACTCATTCAATCATACTACATGAATATTAAGGTTGACAAAAACTTGACATAATGTCACGTCACATTCTATTGTTGGACAGTTTAAAATAAAAAGTCGACCTTTTTGTTTAATCGTCTACTGCTACATGTATTATGTCAAGCTTTCTATCAAATTCTTCTGGCAAAATAGCTTTATCCTTGCTCGTTACACTTCGCCGGAATTATTGATGTGCAATTACAAGTGCCAGCCATGTTTCTGCTAAGAGTCTTTTAAAGTGACAACTTATTTGTGAACCAAACTACAACAATGTTGTTTTTGTATAGGTTAAAGACATAAAATAAAAGCGTTAAAATGTCTCAAGCCACTCAAATCAGGACGACCAGCACGGCATGCCAGGAAGTCGACCATCCCTATAGAGTCGACCACTGATTTGCATCTTTGTACTGTATTGTGAAGAAGAGTTAGTTTGTCATTGTATAGTGTGCTGCCTTTATTAAAGAAGCAAAACAGACTCGATTCAATCAATGATACATCAGTAATTTCAGAGCTGCAATTTCTACGAGTAAAATTAACCAGCTGTAAGATAAACATAACCGTGAACCAAAATCATTACACATTTCAAATCCAAATTGACTCGAAGATTTGATATGTGATATCATGAACTGCACGAAAGGCCTTTTATTCACGGCCTAAGTTCGAATTGTACTAATCACGACTATTTGTTCGTCCAATGGAATCGAGACAATCTGTCCTGATGCGTACAATCCTACAAAAAACTTCTCTTACTTGGCGCTCCAACGGATCCAATCCATCCTTTAGAGCTCCATACGCTTGCTTTATCCACATTTAGTCCATTGGTGGCTAAAATCTCATTGGCCCGAGGAGCAACCAAGTTATTCCCAATTGCTTGCAACTGCCTAGCAGCAGACCAAGAAGGCGAAACACTCCACGAGAGTGATCTAGCATGGCCTACAGATTTATTCTCCCTCATCACGTTGCGTCCAAATGACTTATTTCTACGCCCCAGAATCGAATTTGATTCTTTCTCATCAAGCATTCCAATAGCCAAATCAATCAAGGCCTTTTTAGCGCGTCGAATTTGGCCTTCCCCAAGGCTCCTCTGATTGTCCAGTGCGCACAAAACAATCTCCAGTTGCACCTGCCATTGCCTAATCTTATCAATCCCATCCCTAGTCGCATTGCAGACATCTAAAGCCTTAACACTCCTTTCAAAAAACTCTGAAATGTATCTAGCCATTGGGTTTCTATTCAAGAAATCCTTGTTCTTGAACACAATTAGTCTAAATTCTTCTTGGCAGCAGAGGTATGCATCCAAAAGCTTGCGAATCCACGCAACTGAGAGCAATTCATCGGAATCTACGGCAGCCAGATCGTTAAACCTTTCAGCCACTTGTTTTTGAAATGATTCCAATTCAATTACTTGGCGAGAAGTATCCATGGAGTCAACCTGATCGTGCCGTCTGTTCAAACTTGAAAATCCAAAGCCTGGGAATGATGCTGCTCAACCTTCTCGACTGGCTGGCATTTCTTAGCTTTAAAGAAAGTTTTCGAGAAAATCTTGGAACTGGGAACAGAAATTCAAACAGAAACAGAAGATAATAAAGACCCAATTGCAGTTAAGAAAGAACAAAACTTTCAAGGTTTTTTCTATTTTCCTTTCTGAAACTAAGAACCCTAGACACATACTGTGATAAACAAGGCAAAAAACCACTTCCAACAAGGTACGAGAATTGCTAGGAATCAAGAAATCTTTCGGCAGAAACTTGCACTACAAGATCAACAAAAAGTTAAAAAAGACTCAAACTTTAACAAGCAAAACCCAGTTTTTGGATTCAAATAAGAGAAAAAGGGATTTAAAGATCAAGAAAAGATATTCGAGAAGAGTGAAAGGGCATGTTTGAAAAAAACTACATAGGAGGGACGGCTTTTATTGGAGGTGATTTGGACCGCGTATCGTGGTTTGTTGGGAAATGGAGAGAATATTCACCGAAGTGAATCACAGATTAATATAGGTTTTTAATGCATAATTTACTCAAAAGTTGAAAGTAGTTTGATTTGAGAATTAACCCAATTTGGTAAATTAACTTATGAATATGACTTTTAATCGATTATATTATTGTTTTGATTTTTATGTTACCACTTCTTTTCCTGTCTAAAAATATATGTTCAAGAGGGCAATTAACGCGAACTCTTGATAATGTGATCATATTAGAATATATGCAACAAAAATTGTGAATCGAAGAAGGCGTTAGTTAGGCATGTTAGACATGTTTTAAAGAAAGTTGTAAAAATATTGTGATTTTTTGCAACATTTTTGTTTCAATAATATAATTAATGGGATACATATGAAAGTTACATGCCTATTTACGGTAAGTTTTGAGAGGTAATCGGTTGTAAATCAAAAGATTGAGAATAAGGGTTTTTTTTCTTTTTTGTTCATATATATAAAAGATTAGGAATATAAAAGGTTGGAAAAGATGGGTTATTATTTTTCTTTAAGGATCCGTTTGATTGTAAAGGTGAAAAAGACAAATAAGTTTCATGAAAATTGGAAAAGAAAAAATCACCAAAATCACAAGAATTTGATTTTCATTGAATTGATAAAAAAATATGTTTTAAGTGTTTGCACCTTAGAATTCGAACTTCAATTCTACTCTAGGATGTGACATTTTTCATGGAATTGGGTGCTATCAAACGGATCTTAATTTTATTTTTACATCCATGTGTGGTTGACCATATGTGAAAATCAGTTGTTTAATTGCTGGCACGAGGCAAGAAATTGCATTCAACAGGTACACACGTGGGGCCAAGAAAAGAGTGGAGGAGGGTGACTCGGTCTTGGTTGGCGCGTAATGGAAAATGAGCGACTCGGTCTTCAAATTTTTGACATGTCATATTTCTTCTAAAGAGAGTCTTGCATTTGAAGAATGAAAAGAACTTTGATCCAGTTAAATAAGAAATGTCTAGAAGCAAATTTTGTCTACTTTCTTCTGAATTCAAGGTGGACATATCTTGAAACATGACTTGTGTTTTTCTAAAAATATACATTTTACTTCAATATTATATTATGTTAAACTATGGAATAACCTATTAAAAAAGTGCTTTCAATTTTTCAGTCATTACCGAACCCTTTTGTGGTTGACATTTCACTTTCAGCCCATGAATAAAATGATTAACAATCTTTTTTCCTTTCATTTTCATGATGGGCTGGCTAACTAAGATAATAATCACCATTTGGCAATTTATTACGTGTAGACTTACAGCATACTTTCTATTTATAAAGAGCATTATATGAATAATAAAAGATATCGATAAATTTAAAGAGTAAGACATTACTTTTTTCAATAAATATTTATTGATTTATCCCATTTTTTATTTAACAGTATATTTTTTTTTATATATCAATGGTCAATCGTTTGAATACAATTTGAATAATTTAAAGAGTAAACTATAGAAATTTGTAACTCATTAAATTCAATCAATATAAACTAAGAGCCTGTTTGGGAGTGATTTTAAGAATTGATTTTTTGACCGTTAGGAAAAAAGTGGGGTCCACCTGTGAAAGAAGAAGTCAAATATGATGGCTGTAATAGTGAAATAACGATCAAAAAATCAATTTTTTGGGTGAAAATATTGGGGCCAAACAGGCTATAAGCAAGTGAATTCAAATTTAAAAAAAGTTAAAAATAGTCTCTTGAAACTTAATTTTAAGTATTAATATTTTAAAATAAAAAGCATCTTATTAGAAAGTCTATTGAAGATGCTCTAACCTAATGTCACCATTTGTGGGACCCCTTTATTACAAAACTTGAGCTCCTATGTTAAAATTGCAAAGCCTAGATTTTCCTGCCTTGCTGGATTTCTTGACCTTTTGACTTTGAAATGTTCAAGGCCACAAAGTAGGTTGAGCATCCCCTGACATTCATTAATGGCAGTGGGCTGGAGAAATTTTGTAACCCCACGTTATCACAAGTCAAACCAATTTGGAGGCATGAAATATTCAACTCGTACGAGAATTAATAGTACCCTGTAGCACTAAGAAAGAAAAAAAAATCTAAATTTCTGTTCATTATTCTATTGCATCACATCCAATACAATGTACAAGAGTTATGACAAGATACATTGTACTATTGCGGTAGTACTTTCCAGTGTACATCTCTTCATGTAGAGGATTGAACATGACAGAAAAAGTGGACCTCTTTGGGCAATGCACCAGGCTTGAGCAAAGAAAGTAACGGCGGATGATAAACCCTGCATTCCCAAATCCCAAACTGCACAGTTAGAGTTTTCAATTAGCACCCTATATTTATTCGGTTGTATTACATTTACATAATAGTTTACATATACAGTTAAACTTCGATAAAATAATGTTCGATAAAGTAATAACCTCGATTATATAATAATTTCTTTCGATCCCGACTTGGGCCAATGGACTAAAATAATAACCTCGCTAAATGCATTAAGTAATAAAAAAATTTGAATCCTTAAGAGCTCAATAAAAATATAAAGTAATAATTACTGGATTTCATTGAGAAAAAAATATATATATAGACCAAAATCTTTCAATCAATCAACAATACCCGTACAATAATCATTCCTTTTGAAAATATACATCTATAATTGATTGTTTTTTCTTCCCACCTAAATCAAAATGAACATCATCCTTAACTTTTTGTAGAGCATACACAACATCCGGAATATTTTGCTCGTGTTGTAGCAAGTAGTTGCTTAAGGTGACTATTGCTTGAAATGCATCTTTTGACGACGCATTTAGGACAACGCTATTATCATCTGGTTCAAGATCATTCTCATCATCATTACTGTTCATTACCGATTGAATAATTTCTTCGTCTGTAGATGATTCGATAACTGCATCATTCTCGCTATGATAGTTCAAAAGATGTTCAACATCCATCACATTTCTATAGTGTAAATTAGAATTGACATTATTTAATCCTTGGATACCTTCATCTAATTCACCAACTTCTGGTTCGAGAACATTGTTTTCTTCTGATCGAATCTTGCAATGCCGAAAACAATTTGTAATTGTTGTTGTCTTCACATCAAAATTCCAAACCATGTTAGCAAAATTAATAGCATTCAAAATATTAATTTTTTCAGGATTTGGTGCTTCAACCTCAAGGCCTTGTAAGATGCTAGAATAAAAACGACGACGATAATGAGTTTTGAATGCTCGAATAATTCCAGCATCACATGGTTGAATCTTAGACGTTGTGTTAGGAGATAAGAAAAATAACTCTACATTTCTCAAGCCTTCAACTACCTTTGGATGAGTTGGGCAATTGTCTAATATTAAGATAACCTTCCTGCCATTCATTCTCTTATCAAACCAACCAACAAAATCTTGAAAAAGTAAGACAGTCATCCAAACTTTCTTATTGGATCGATACTTGCAATTAAGATTGTTCATGTTCACATTTTTAAAGCATCTAGGATTTTCATACTTACCAATAACCCAAAGTGGTACTTTGTCAAATCCATCACCATTGCAACAAACAACAACAGTAATTCTCTCCTTATCTTTTTTGCATCCTTCGAGCTGCTTGGTAGCAAGTGAATGACCAGCTTCCAATCGATAAAATAATCCAGTTTCATCCATATTGTAAATATCTTTCAACTGAAACTGGTCTAATTTTGATCGTATTCCAGGTAAAGCATTTTCAATGTTCTCCATGATAATTGAACCACTTTCACCAAAACGTCAGTAAGATTTGATTCCATATCTTGCCTTGAAATGTTCTAACCATCCACTAGAAGAGCTGAATTCTGGATTAGTTTTACCATATATTTTTTGCAAAAGCTCTTTTGCTTTTCCTTGGATAATTTCTCCAGACATGTTCACTTTATCTTGCCTTTGAAGAAACCACTCATACAAAACTTCCTCTAAATCAGGGTATTTTGCTGATTTGTGCCTTTTAACATCGCTATTTTTCATCTCATTTGACAAATATTCCGACACCCTTTTGAGAGTGTTCGATATTGTTGATTGACTAATAGTCAAATCAAACTTTTGTTGCACCCATGCTTGCATATCTTATTGGCTAATAGTTGGATTCTCTTTCTTATGCTCACATATTGCACTCCTCATTTTATCGGTTAAAGTTGATTTTACTCCTTTCAAATGATGAGAAGACATTGGAGGAGAAACAAAATATTGTATGTGCTTGGAATATGTCTTCCAAACATCTAGCTTTCATAGGTAAAGACTAAACATTTTCATTTGCTATGTACATGAACTTAGTTTTTAGAGACATTACGTTTCACTAAAACTTTTGAGCTTCCCTAGATTCAAATAATACTTTGATTAGTGTTTTTTGATTTTTCTTACCACATACAGTGTACATATTTTATATTGAAAAGCTCTCTCTAAAATAATAAATATTTATTTATCGATAAATGAATAATTTATTCATTTGGCGATAAATAAATAACCTCGCTAAATGAATATTTTTTTCTGGTCCCGAGGGTATTACTTTATCGAGGTTTAACTGTACATTGTGTGATGAGATATATGATTGGATCAAATTTCAACTAAAAAAACAAAATAAATAAACTTCTTTAATTTCATTTTGACACTTCATTTGTATGTAAATCATTATATAATTTCATTATGTACAAGTAGAATTATTCATATTTATTTCATTACAAGAAACAAACTTCAATGACAGACGAGTGAAAATCCAAATATAGCTTGCCAGTAACTAATGACATATAGCTTGCAAACTTCATAACGGATTTATAATTATTATGGCTTCATAAAGTTTCCGAGTGAAAAGAAATAAAAACAATACCTTATAATATTCGGGCAAATTTGAAATTTGAATCTCCTTAAAGAATCACCTCCCACAGAGTACCTGCAAAACAAGTGCATATCAAGCATTCTATGAAATCAAATATAGTCCTCTTTTAGACGAGACCAATATTTTACTGGACACCTCATGATCTTTTAGCTGTGAAACACAGACATGCTGAGTTGGACAACAACATGCGATTGAATTGAGTTGATCAGAGCAAAATGCAAAATTAATCATTATAAAAGACTCAGAATATATTACATCAACAATTTTGAAAAAAAAAATCCTAAATGGGGAAGATTTAATGACAAATACATGAGAATCTCTTGTGATGGCTAACACAGAACTTCCACATCACTAAGTTGGCATAAAAATCAGCAAAGGGTACAACACCACAATCTGTAACATGTCTACATCAACAGCCAAGAATAAAGAACTCGTTAGCAACTCCAACAAAGTTTTGTGGAAAGATGTAACTAAAAAATTTAGCTCAACCAAATTTTTGAAGCAGATATAACCTTAAAGATGTCTACATCATCGAAAATGAATACAAACAGACACAGTACTGAATTTTAAACTTAGATTTTACGCTCAGGTTGAGACTCGGTGATTTGTTTTCAAATGATTACTCGTTAGTCAGACCAACATAATCTGAAGTCAATACAGGGAAATAGAGCATCTTTGCTAGACTAGAAGCACTCCCGTTGCTAAGACATTTTTCCAACTTCCATACGGCCATACTGCACACCTCACAACAGAAAATAGCATATGGAAAAAACAAGAGAAGAAAACTCAAAAAAGAAAAAATAATAATAATGAACTTTAAGAGGCTTGGAGACATACTGCAAGATTTAAAAGGCCCTCAGATCTCATAGCTTATCATTGATTATTGTGCTTTATATCCAATGATTTTCATCAAAGCCAATCCCTCAGAGCTGGATGATGGTGAAAATAATAATAATAATAATAACAACAACAATACACCGACGAGTAGAAGAATGATGACAGTGGCGAGGGCTGTCTTGATGATGAGGGAGGCTTACAGTGAAAACCAAAGGCACAAAACTAACCAATGCATGTTCCATCATAGGGCATTTTGACATGCTATTAAGAAACATAATTTGTTGGAAGTTCGACAAGCCAGGTTCTGAAGAAACCCAAAAGATAAGTATAAAGTTTTAAACAACATTCCAAACCATTAGAAAGCACCTTAAATCAGACAGACAGACAAACAAACTAAAATAAATAAACACATGAGAACTGATCTTGGAGAAAAAAGGGCCAGACGCAGCTGGGAAAAACACCATGTCTCAAAATCGACAAATGCATCTCAACCTTATACAAGAAATGCAACTAATATCAAAGTTTGCAGAACATACATTGGCTAGAGTTGGCAAGAATGTTGATTTAAGCCCTTAGTTTATCCACGAGCAGCTTAAAGCTACTAACATCCCTGGAGCACTTTCAGCACAACCATTCATAGATAGATAGACAAAAGGCTGATAAATAATACCAGATCAATTCCCAAATTGGACATTTCATAATTGCAAAACAAAGATAAATTCTACTTTGGATCCTGGACTGATGGTGCACAAAAGGCCGGCAGCAAATGCCAACCAGCTCAATACAGTGAATTTTCCATCATTGGGTAAATATAATTAGAGCAAAGAAACATGCAGACTCAAATTGAAATGACTCGTGATCATATAAAGCGCAAAGTTTCTGAAAATAAGTCCAGAAATGCACTGAATGAGCATAGCAAACCAGAAGGCAAAGTCAAACTCACGAAATATAATGGAGTTGTTAGAAAAGATTAATGTGTTTTCACTATTTCCTACAAATCTACATATTGATTTAACAAATCATAACTTTATTCGCACATACACATTTACAGAAATACATTGCAATCTTCAGCAAAATAATGTAAGAATATTTATACAATTAGAAAATTTGAACACATACTATATAGAAATCTATATTTATCAAATATTACCAAATTTTCAGATATAGCCCTAAGATCTTATGGCTTTTGACGAATCATGGGCCTCTCAAACTCTGATGGCGATTCATTAGAGGCCTTTTGCACACACCATCAACAAATTTGTGATAGTGAAAAATATTATGGACGCAGGAGAAAGCGGAGGAGGGGTACGAGCCGGTTGCAGTGCAGCCGCGGCGGCAAATTGTTACGACTGGCATGTACACGTATACATACATAGGTTGTGCGCGTGCGAGTAGGACTATGTACGGGCCACGGTTGGGCCGTTGGGTTTTGTTGAACAACAATGGGTGGGCCGGCCCTCTCACCGTAGCTTGTCATTAACGGGTCGGCCTGGAAAGGCCGGCTGCATGAACACCCAGGCTACAAGCGGTTCAGTCCTATTTGGCGCTCCTAGTCGTAGGGATGTCAAATGGGCCAAGCTAGCTCGGCTCAGTCGAGCTGATATTTTCTCGTGTTAGTCGCTTGTTTACTTGTACGGATTGCTTACGAGGAGAAATATAAAATTTCAATTGAATTTAAAAATAAAATTGATGCGAATGGACGAGTAGAACGACAAAATCCTGAAACGAAGAAGCTATTGTTCGACCTACCCAAAGCAAGAACGAGTTAGCTAGTGTGGTTGTCCGAGCTTGATGGTCAACAAGGAAGCCAGCTCATTTTGGTCCATTAATACCCCTACTCCTAGTTCGACTGTGATGAATTTTCCTTCTTTTTTTTTTTTAAATGCTAGTAAATGACCTAGATTTAACGATTTTTCGTAATTTTATTTTTTAAAATTCTAAATTATGACAGTATTAATGAATTGAACACAAGTTAGCCACCATCTAGTAAATTTATAAATCGTTTATACGTTGGTCAAATTTCATTTTTAATTTCACATTTTGATGATTATACAAATACCATCTATCTATTTATTCATCACTTATCATATCTATTTATAAATTAAATCGTTAATAAATTCTTCCATGCCTAATTATGTTGTTGCGCAATTGATAGGAGACAAAGGAGACATGATAAAACATTTCCCAATTCACTTTCTTTTTCTTTTTCTTTTTTCTTTTTTACTTCTTTATATTTATCTATTTAAGTTAAAAAGTAATGTTGTCTTTAAGCTTCTTCGTGGTGTGACATAAAGAAGACTTAAAATTCATACATTCTGGAAAATTCTCATTGTTGAGAATTATCGTTCCTGTGAAATTGAACAAACCATTTTGAACTAGAATTTTTATCATTAACTTTATATATTTAACTATAACCAGTAATTTTAATTTTTGTTAAGAGTTTTCGAATTTATATTTGTAATTCCTAAATTTCGTTTTTATTGAGAAAAGGAACCAACCAATTGAAACAATTTTATTTTTTATTACTTAAGTCTTCATTTCATTTTTATTTAAATAAACTTTTATGATACATTTAAGGTTTATTTGACAAGACTTTTACTTTTATTTTTACTTTTATATAAGAGTTTTTCGAGAAAATTATCTCATAACAGTTTGCATGAAAAGCTCTCTCAGATAAGACAAAAACCTTCATTAAAATTATTTAAATATAAATAAAAATATTTTTTTACTTTTCAAAATCCAGTCGTATGGGCTCCAATGCTACTTTCGCGTCTTAGAAATCAATCTTGGAACGTCTTTTATTCGTCAATAAATCTAGGAGAACAAATTCCAATAAAGCGACAATTAAAGCTAGTCATGACTTCTAAAGAATTATAAAAAGGAGGAATTTATTTGTATATATTCTTAATACAAATCTTAATCTGGTTTAAAAGTAGATTACCATAATCAGACAGCTTTAATTAATTTATTAAAATTGACCAATTTGCATTACCACACATAGAAAAGCTGGAATCTTTAGTCATTAGTGGAAAAGTGATTGTCTGCTTAATTTATTTAGCAAAGAGTTCATATATTTGCCATCAATTATATGACAAGCTTACAATTTTTCTTTCATGCATATATAGGTTCTAGTTTCCTATTGTTCTTAGTCTTTAACTTCAAAGGCTACAAAGAAGGGGAAAGAAAAGTGCATTTGAATCTCATGGAATTCAGTTATGGTGGTGTAATGGTGATAGGCTGGCCAAGTCAGTCGAGTCGACTGCAGAGAGATTTGTGGGTTATAGTGTCAAACAAGATTTACCCCCTCAAGTACTGGGTTTTTACACGTCGAGTCGTCGGTTCCGATTTGATACCGGTACCTTGATGGTAGTTTGTGTTTATATAGATGGGCAGTTGACTTAAAAATGCCTAAGGGTGCTCGCTCCTCAGTATCTGTCATTGCCATGGTGCCACTCCCCCATGCCATGGCTCAGTATTGGCAAATTTCTTTCAAAAAACGAGAGGTTTTGCAGTTCTAATATTTATTTGTTATGCCTATTTTTAGGTGGTTTGAGTGTTGCATCCTCTACTTATAGCCTGTTTGTTTCCCTTTTTTTTTTTTTTTTTTTTTTTTTTTTTTTTTTTTTTTTTTTTTTTTTTTTTTTTTTTCCTTTTTTTTTTTTTTTTTTTTTTTAGTAAAATTGCATTTTGAAATAGTTAACTGATGAAAAATGTGTGGTTAAGAAATAAGAAAATTTTTAGTTTTGCGTGTAATATTACTTTATTGAAGCATGTGATTGAAAAGAAGAGAGAAAAAAACAATGACGTAATATTAATTTTTGAATTTTCTTTAGCGAAATTAGAATTGTAAATAGAAACTTACAGAAAAATTAAGAACTAAGCATGTAATAAATCAAGTTGAGGTGTGGCCTTAGTTCTCCCCTTGAAGATTCATAATTGGAATGATACATAATTTAAATATTTTTGTATTATAAGATGAATTCATAAACTTCACTAAAAACATCATTTTCTTGGTCAATATATTTTTAAGGTCCTGTTTGGTAAGGGTTTTACTTATTCTTTTGCTTTTTACAGGCTATTCTAAACCAGTTTTTCTCTAAAAACTTGTTTAGCTAAACAATAAAATATTTTTAAAAAATTATCAAAACATGTTTCAAAGTAGTATCTTAGTCTTGAATGTAGCTTTTGATTTTTTGAAGGTCCTATCAAAATGGTCCTAAATATGAAGTTGCAATGTAAGAAATTTGACAAAGATGTGTTGTATTTATGTGCTTGAGACCTCGAGAGAGATTATACAAAGATAAACCCCGTAATCCCATTAAAATAATCCTCCATCTCACTTTCTTGAAATGTTGAACAATATCTCATGTTTTCTAGTGCATGTTTTGTTAGAAATTATAATTAATTGTAACTAGTAGATCCCAAAAAATATAGGGTTAAAAAGTAGGTAAAAATTGTAGATTTTACGAAATGTGTAGATATAAATAAAAGTTTGACCAAATTATAAGCGATTACAGTTTATGACGAACATGGACTAAGATAAAAGTAAAAATCGATGTCTAGTCTTATATCAAGGCCTATCAGAAGATTAAGCAGTACAATGGAGTGTCTGATATGCTATATTGGAGACAACTGGATGTAAAAAAAAGGAAAAAAAAGGAGAGAGAGTGAGAGAGAGAGAGAAAGTGACAAAGTTTGTCGATTGTTGTATTCAAATTTGAACATAATATGATTGCATTACAACAGAATACAACCAAAATCATCTTTAGCAAACTAAAAGTAAACAACGTCCGTCTTTTTCCTTCTATTCACAAGCCAATTTTGAGTCGAAGCTGCTTAAACATATGGCAAAAGCCTGAAACGCAGATAAAGGGTATTGATAATCCATTGTGAACGTATCTTTGCCAATCTTACCAAACTGCAAGATGATCTCGTCATGATCAGTCGGGGCAGCTTGGGATGGTATAGGTGCACCAGCAGCAGTTGGCTGTGCATCGGCAACAAGTTGGAAGTTCTTGACAGAGGCTATTGTTACCCTTCCCCGGAAATTAAGACACCAACACTGCAACTGTTCATGCCACCTCGGGGACTTGTTTTTAAGAAGTAAAGGTCTATCTTTTCTTTCCTCCACGTGATCCTGTAAATTTTCAATCTCCGCAAATCGGGCACTGCCGAACACCGTTGCATTGTCAATTGATTTAGAGAAGGAAATACTCCTGAATGAATCTTCAAAGCAGGAAAGAAGCTCGGGTTGGCCAGGAACAGTACAACCGCGCTCAAGGGAAGATGCAGGAATTGAATGCATGAGGCAATGCATCCTACGCGGGCCCCTAGTTCCGAGCACATTGAGCTTATATGTGACCTGAGCAATGTTGTAGCTTCCAGTAGGGACTTTCGGAGAAACTTTTTTTGAGTAGTATCGACGGCCAGTTCTCTGGGGTGGGGAATTGTTAGAGTAGTTGTATGGTGGCCGTATGTCATAAATAATGAACTTTGTTCCAAGGAAATTGGACCTGGATGAATGAGAAGTAGAGAAGATACTTACTTTTTTGTTTCCTAAAACACGATAAACAAATAAATTGTATTCTCATAAACACAAATGACATGTTTGGTACATCCATCATATTGGACTTAATTCAACTAGATAGCGGACAAGATTCTAACTTCATTTTTCCCAACCTTGTCCAATTCACTTTATCGAACTTCCCTAAAAGAACTACATTAAAAACTTTGAACCAGGTTAAGAAACCCAATTACTAGGGTCCTATCTTTTGAGAAAAAGTTCTTGGAAAACATTATTATTATTATTATTATTATTATTATTATTATTATTATTATTATTATTATTTATTTATTCGGATAATGATAAACAAGGTCTAATTTGAGTGGTTCATCTAGAAAGTAGCCTCACCTCAACTTTCCAACGTAACTGCTGCGTGACCTCGATATATTATCAGCATCCATTGATATCACATACTCCATACAAGTGGTTCTCCGAATCCTTTTTGCAGAAAGAAGAAATTTACCGTTCTCGGAAAACAAGGCTGCAAAGAAAGTAGCAACTAGTAAATAAATCTGATGAAGTATTGCAAACAAGGTCAACTTCGCCAAGCATCAAAAAACAGCTAAACGTTTTTCTCGCAACTTGATTTTGTGACGAATTATTTAATATTAAAATATTTTAGGAATCTAAGCCAACAAGTGGATGTTGTATTGATAGAGCATATATCAAGGGAATGATGACATAGGTGGTTGGGGAATATTTTGTGCAGAACTCTTTAGATTCCTGTTCATAAGGATGACACAATCTCAATAGAGCAAGTCAAAAGAGAGCACAATGGACCAAAACTATATGGTCCGTTGTGTTAAAGATCTAATTGTCTATATCTTCTAGTAGTTCTGAACTAAATGAAATGACGAAAAAGAATTCATGTTGCCAACCTCAAATTTGTTGGGAGCAAGGCTTACTTTGCCGTTGTATCATAATTCAAGAATTATAAACTTTTCATGATATAGTACCTTTACATGCACTAGTATTAAGAGAAGGGTGCTTCTGCTTTGCAAAGACCAGACACAAAAAAGTGGATTATGTGTCAACTCTTGAGGCAGCTCCAGTTCATTTACATTTTTTTCTTTTGATAAGTGCACAATGGCATGAAGAATTCGCCATTCACTTCAAGTTGTACGCTAGGCACAGAAATAATAAAAATACTTTCCCCAAAATTCTGGAAATTCGTTTACAATTGCAATCAATGTATATTTGGTTTCAAGCAAGCAGGAAACAACTCTAAGTGATAAAATCACACATAGAGGATTTCATTTTAGCACTCATGACTACAGATGACAATATGCCCATATCCAGTGACAAATGCAAAAGGCATGAAACGAGTAATTGTATCACACAAGTATATATAATCAGAAAGTCATACAGCCATAGGGCCTGCTACCTTTGAAACTTAGCAAACAAGAGTCAAAAACAGGCCACGCGGAAAGCTTTAAAAATCGCAGTACTAACTTCTATAGCTGCCTTTTTCGAATTTCATAATCACAGAAAACTGAGGAGACTAGCTTATCAGATATTACATGAATACAATAATAGACAATGAACAAATTTTAGCTATTACAGTTTATGCTGAAGTATTCATGATCATCCCACTACAACCAAAATGAAATTTCTTTAAAGTGTCCAGAGAAAAACATTTCTTGCATTGTGACTTGCCATGGTAGAAACGCCTCGACAAGCTTCCAATACCATCCCTTATATCACGAGCTATGTTTCGGAATGACATTTTTCCTTTTAGTCAAGCTGAAGCCTTCAAACAATTCAAGCACATAAATTTTATCCTTGAAAGTTCTTAATCATGTGGGTTTAGATTTAAACTTTAAATCAGTGACATCGGCAAGCATATGAACAGCGGAATGAGTGTCTTTAGTTTAAAAACCTTTCTGCATAGCTTAATAACAAAGGAAATAAAGAAGTATGAGGAAAAGCACAAAGCAAGAAAAGAAGATTCTTTCAAAAGAAGGCCTTCACATAAAAGCAGATCAAAACAGAATACTTTAATCAGTGGTTTTCCCGCTTCTAAAACTCGAATTAATCATTCTAAAATAATCAATTCTGATTCTATTTTGACCACTCCAAAGAAAACGTTATAATTGTGCAAATATATATAAACTACTAGCATCTCCAATTAAATATTTCTATATGGATCTATCTAACAAGAGAGCGCCAAATTCTGCTCAAAACAACGTTTCTCACTTTTGGAGTTCCTAGATAATTACACATCAAACCATGAAATAAAACCCCGAAATTAAAAATTATTCAAAAAACATTTATCATTAGCAAGCCTTCGTCTAAACAAGTCTGTATTCTACACACTAGATCCGCAAACAGCAATTCATAAAAGGACAAAAAAGATTCAATCTTGAAGCACAATTTTTTAATTCTAAGAATTTAGGGAACCCACCTCGGGAAATATGTTCCAAAACATTTTTGTCATTTCATCCTTACAAAGTGTCTCTACAAAATGTACTGGAGAAAGTGAAAACTCAGAGAGTATAAAAGAACAAGATTGAAAAAAAAAAAAAAAAAACATACAAATTTTCAGAAGGTGAGAGGCTAACCTCATGTATCTTCCATGGATGACCGCGATTGTGTATCTAACTTGTAACTATCACTCGGTTCATCCTTTGGCGTTACAAGTTACAACATGTCAACAACCCGGTCCTCTCCCTCCCGACGTGTGTGTGTGCGTGTTTGCCTAAGCTTTAATTATTGAATAATGCGCTGAGTAAGGGCCACTATCCTTAGAGGGTCTTACGAAGGGTAGATATTTTTATTTGGTATATCATTATTTTTTTTTATTAAAAGGTTCATATTATTCTTAAAGAAATGATCAATTCTATATTGTAACATATATTCTAATCTTTTAAACATTTTATCTTCTACTTTGAATAATTGAATATAAATTCATTCTATGATCTAATAAGTAAGAATAATCTATAACATATATTTCATATTTTCTAATTAAAATGTTATATTCTTCAAATGGTAAATTTATATTTTCTAATTGAGAGATAATATTCTTTATTTTTTCTAACATTCTTTCTAATAGATTATATAACCCTTCAATTATATATCCTGACATTTATTCATACAAATAATTATCAATTAATCCCTACGATTCTTTAAGATCTTAAAAAGATTCATTATAATTTTAGCAAAAGTTTAATAGTTTTACCTTAGGTTTGATCTGAACTTTTATTTTTAGAATCGAGTGACTTCGAGCTCTGAATCTGTAAATTGCTTCTTTCAACGGCTTCCTGCCTTCATGTAATTGTTACTATTTCAGCTACTTGCTCTCACTGTATCAACTTCTAAAGAATAAAATTCTAGACTTCTGTTAAAAAAAACTTTCTTTTTGCTAAAATAAGAAGAAAACTTTTTATCAAATCTTTCAAGAATCTATGGGAATAAAGATTTAGAAATTCATATCCATATCAAAATATTAGAGTTTTATTTCTATCAAAATTTATATAAGACTTCTATTTGGTACAAAGAGATTTTCAGAAAAATTGATTTTTCAAACTAGGAATGATTTTTTGAGTAACTATTGCTTACAACTCGAGATTTCAAGATAAGATGATCTCTATCTATGACAATGTCTCTATTTATACAAGTTTATGAGACTCTATTACATCATTGAGTACATCAGCAAAGGCACACTTGCCTCTTTATTATCTTCCTCCTTGGACCTACATCTTCCATGCTGCTTCAACTTTTTTTATTCAAAGAGCATCTTTTTCTATTATTGCTCTTTTTCTTCAATGTCTTCACATGCAACTGTAGTATTGATCTTCATACACCTTTGTCAAATGTGCTCTATTATTGTCCTCTTCCTTTATTTCTTCACATACAGTTGGGGCACTCTCTTAGTTGGCAGAATTCTTTTATAATGGTAGGATATCCTGGAAATAGATATATATCGAATCTTGTAATATAGTCCTTTAAAATTTCTGATTTTCCATATCTTCCATTGGATACCAGCATCCAATTTTCATTTTGGCACAAGCATGAGAATTTTTTTTCATACAAATTATTTGGCAATGTTGTAAATGACTTTAATTCCAAGTGTTCTTCTATGTCGGATCTATGATTTTGTCACTATCAGAACTTTTCTATTATTTTCTGTAACATCAATTTGGAAATTGACTGCAACACATCCAATTGATATTATGTGTTCAACTGGATAGTAAACAACTCCATCATATTCTGGACTTATTAAATAGAATTTCAAATATATTTTTCGTCTCTTAGCAAATTTGGATACTTCTTTTATGAATACGTCATCAAATTTCGAAATTTCAATCAAATCTTTTCCTGGATATATCAAATCCATGAATTCATAGTCTACCATAATTTTTATAAATGAAGGGTCTCTTCCTTCCGTGGTTGTTATTCTGAGATAAACATTATTTTCCGGATAGATGAAATATGAATCACTTATTTTTATTTCATAAGCAATTTTGACAATTTCGGCATATTTTTCTTCTTTTGGATCTAAAGGGATTTTATCTTCTTGGTTTATGTTGCTGATTGTTTTGGTATCTCTTTTATCTTCATGTATCATAACTTTTTTGGTTGATGATACTGAAATGGAATCTCCTTTATTTTCAGTTGGTATGTTGTCACGTATGGATCCACTGCTGCTTACAGCTGTCCCTGTTTGGTATTGGTTTGGAAAACTCATTTCTGAGCTCTTTGGTATATCTGTCTCTTACAATATATCTTTTAGTTGTGTTGTAATAGCATCAACTTGATCTTTGAGTTCTATGGAATATTTATAATGCTCGGTAGTGATATTCAACAGAATTTTTATATTTGAGTTAAACATCTCTGAGACCTAGGTTGCTCCAAAGTTTATATCTTCAAATTCTTCTTTAAGAAAGTATATCCTTTGTTGTATATGTAAGATAGATTTGTATAATTCCATAACCTTGATTTTACCTATCAGCAAATTCTATGTTTCTGCTTAGAAAATCTACAAGAAAATTATTAACTTCTTTAATATGGACCATATCAAAATTATAAAATACTAAATAAGCTTGCCATCCATGGAACCTTCTGTATTGGTGTTCTGATGATAGTTTATTCCTGACTAATTCTGCAACTTAAGAATTATCGGTCTCAATAGTAAATTTATTGGATAATAAAAATAATGAGAACTTCTTTATTCCTCTAATAATTGCTAATAATTCTTTCGCATGAGTAGTATACTTTATTTCTGCTTGGTTAAATGTTCCACTTGAATATCTACATATTTCATTTAGATCTGTTTTTAATATTGCTACCCAATATTTATCTGAGGCATTAGTATTAATAATCAAATTATCTTTTTCATCTGATAATCTTAATTTTGGTAAATTTTTGCATTCTTCTTTTAATAATTTAACTATTTCTGTGTGTTTTTCATTCCATCCTTTAGTATTTGTTTTTCTAAATAAAACTTGGATTTTATGTCTTTTCTTAAAAAGATTTTCAATAAATCTTTTTGCATAATTTAAATATCCTAAAAACATTTGTATTTGTTATTTGTATTCTAATTTATCTGAAAAACTTTCTATCTTTTTGGATATATGAGTTTGTAATTTTATCTCTCTTTTATCTATTGATAATTCAAGAAAGTCTATCTCTTATTTTTCTATTATAGATTTATTTTTAGATAGTACAATTCCTTCTTTTTTACATTCGCTAATAAATTGGATTAAATGATTTCTATATTCTTCTTTACTATTAAAACATATTAATATATCATCTATATAAACAATTAGAAATTCATTAAACTTTTTAAATATATTATTCATCTTTCTTTGATATATTTGTGGTGTATTTTTTAGACCAAATGGCATAACTAATCATTCATATTTTTCTTGAGGTGTGTTAAATGCAGTATATTGTATACTATCTTCTTCCATTTTTATTTGTCAAAATCTTGATTTATAATCAAATTTAGAATAATATTGTTTTTTTCTTGCAAAATTTATTAACACTTCTTTATTTGGTATAAAGTAACCATCAAATTTAGTATATTTGTTTAATTCTTTATAATTTATGACCATCCTAACTTTTCCTCTAACTTGTTCAGAATGTTTCATAACCATAAGGATTGGACTACTTTGAGGTCCATTACTAAGTCTAATAAGTTTTGTTCTAACAATTCTTTTATTTGGTTTTTAAATTCTTGTGTATCTTCTATAGTATACATCATTGGTCTGACTCTTATTATAACATTTTCTATTAATTCTATTTTGGCTTTTGGGTGATCTGATTTCCAAAATAGTAATTAATTTTCTCCATAAACATTTTTCTAGTTGTTCAATAATTTTTTCTATATTTATTTATATTCCTGTTTTTAGAACTTTTTTATATAATATTCTTTTATTTTTTATTTCATTATATATGATTGATTTTTTCTCCCATTTATTACCATGATGGGCTAGCTGAACTCTAAAAGACTTAAATTCTCTATAAATTTTTGATAAATGTCCACACGGTGTTTGTAGCATTATCATATAATTATTTTATTTATAATATTGAAATTGTTGTATGAAATTATTTCCTAATAATATATCACATTCGAATTTATCATATTTATAAATTTTATTTATTGTTACTTGTTTACTTTCAAGAATTATACTAACTTTATAGCACTATTAATTATTTAAGTACTTTTTCCTGTAACTCCAGTTATTTTTATATTACTATTATTATTCCATAATTTTATTAAAAACTATTAAATATTGTTATATCATTTCCTGTATCTATTAAAGTACAAGTTGTTATATTTGTTTCCACAATAGTAATTTGTATATACACATCTAATGAAAAACTTATCTGATTATTCATCTAATTCTTTTTACATAATGTAATTTGTCCATTATGAACAATATATAATCCTTCTCTTTGCATACTATAATCTTCTAATCCATTTAGAAAACTCATTCTTAAAAGTATATGGAGGTTTATATCCATATTCTTATCTATATAATATGGTACTAAAAGATCTATTCCTCCTATTTTTATTGGTACCTTAATTTCTAAATCTGTAATATGTATCTGTCCATCAAAATCTACATATTTATAGGGTTCAATTTTATGAGTTATTAAACATTTATTTCTAATCGAAATTATATGACATTCACTAACTCCTGTATCTATTAATATATTTGGTCCATTTATATTTTCTCTTCCGTTATAATATTTTTCTTCTATTTTCATATTTCTAGCATTTCTATATAGTGTTACTTCTTTTATTTTGTTGATTTCTTCTAACTGATTTTTATTAGGTATTTTAGAACCTTTTGATCTTTTAATTAATTTTCCATCATTCAATATAATATTAGTAGAACATTATCCTTCATTTAATTTTGTTATTTCAGATTTAGTTTTTATTATACTAAATTCATATTCTTCTGAAATTAAGTTTATTTGGTTCCATTATTTTACTAATAACTTTACATTCTTTGTGAACTTCAATATATGGTTTATTAGAATAAATATTCCCATAATTAGAATTAGTAAATGTATATAAAGCTATATATTCTATAGTCATAATTTGATCACCACGTTGCATGATATCATCTCTATGAAATTTAAAATGTAGTCCTAAAATTTCATTAAAATTTATATCTTTTAATGATACACAATATTTTGGATAACATGTAAATATAATTTTTTGACATACTAAATTTCTTTCTATTGTTCCTAAATGACTATCTTTTAAATTTATTATTCTT